ATTAAAATATAGAGTTATGAATAAGAGAATTTCCTAAAAAATGATTTACATGTTGTATATATCAGACGTTTTGTCAGTTGCACTTCACTTATAGAATTTGAGTTAAAAACTAGAGCATGCACAAAGGATATTCTCATTATGTACAAAAATGTTCATAAAGTCTGTATTGAACACAAAGTGAAGAAATAACCTAAATGCTCAAAGTAATAGTAAAGTTTAATGATTATGTATAAAATCATAGGGACATTACATAATAATATACTATTATGAAATATTTAATTAAATTCTCATATTATTTTATTACTTTAATTATGTACAATAATAGATGTGCAGTGTTTTGGGGACTATGATAATTTACATAAGCTTACATGTAATATGATATATTAGGTAATTGGGATCTCAATGCCTCAAGCATTTATCATTTCTGTGTTAGAACGATTCTGGGTATATACATAAGAGAAAAGTATATTGACTGTCTGCATTCTATGTTTATTACGGAATTCATTCCAAAAATATAGATCAACCTTAACTGTCCCTAATGGATGAACAGATATACAAAACTGTAGTACATGTACAAATGGATAATTATTCAGATAAAAAGAATAAAATCCTGATCATTCTGGAACAATGTGAGATAGAATGGGAGGACATTATGTTAATGTGAAATAACAGGGCACAGCAAAGAAATCCTCATATTTAGAAGACATGAGCATTATTCTCCCATTAAAAAATACTGTTACTGTTAATTATCCATATATGTTTTAAAAATAGAAAAACATTATGGAGCAGTTCTCTGTTGTATCATGCAATGAATAGATTTTTTGTGTTTCAATATTTATTTATTTTTAAGATGACTTAATGGTTACACATTTATAATATAATGTGATTTTCCATACATGGTATAATTGTGTAATGTTCAAATCAGGGTATTAGCACATCATATCAAATATTATATTTTTGGTGTGGGCAAATCCAAATCTTCTCTTCTAGCTATTTGTGAGATATGCATGCCTTATTGCTTAACTTAGTCACACTACTGTGTAAGAAACCAGTACTTGTTTTGTCTTTTCTAATTGTACTTTGTTCTTTGCCAATCCTCTCCTTTCCCCTCCTCCTCCACAGCCTTTGTAAACCACTTTGTTTTTCTTTGAGATCATATTTTTGGATCGCACATTATTTTTTCATATACCTGTGGACATTTTACTCTTTCTGAAGAAATCTATTAGGTCTTTGCAATTTTTAAAGGTCCTTATTCTTTGCTTTTGAGTATTTGAGTTCTTTAATATTTTAGTGATGTTTAACTTTTTCAGAGGTAGTTTGCAAGTATTTACTCTATTTCATACTGGCAGGTTGCTCACCTGGACTAAGGTACAGTGGCATTTCAAAGCTCATTGAACTTCAACTCCTGAATTTTATAAAGCCAATTATGAGTGATATTATTTCAGGGATACAGGATGGTCAATATTAAACTAATCATGTCAACCAACCATATTACATAATAGAAAATATGCATGATGGCCATATCATTGATGCAGCAAAAGCATTTACATAAAACATTCTTTCATAAAAAAACCGAAAAAATCGAATAGCGTAACCAACTCTACTTGTAATACTCTACAAACCAAACCAAAACAAAAACAACCTGCAAAACCTAGAACTGTTATGATAATGGTGAAAGATGGAATGCACTGCCCCGAAAAGAATAAGAATAATATATTCACTCATACCATGGTGTCTAAAATAATACTAGAAGGCCTACGTATCTATAAGGCAAGAAAAGGAGTTAAAATAATGCTGGATGCAGTGACCCACACCTGTAATTAGCATTTTGGGAGAACAACGACAGGCGGATCACGTTGAGGCCAGGAGCTCAAGACCGCTGGAACATAGCAAGCCTCATTCTATATTTTTTGTAAACTAGCTGAACATGATGCATTGTCTATACTTAGCTACTAGGGAGTGACAAGAAGATTTGGGTTGAGCTGGGAGTTTGGTTTGAGATAACTATGATCATTGTCTGACTCTAACCTAGCCACAGATAGACTGTCTAAAAAAAAAAAATCATGTATATATATATAGATATTAATATATATATATATATGAGAGAGCCCCCCCCAAGGAGATCAGAGGAAGAAATAAAACTTTATCATAGTATACATGGTTCT